TGTGAACATTTATATCCTTTTAGTGCAGGTGTGGCGGCCTACACAAACACTACCTATCATCCACCTATAATGCAGTCTTGAGATCCCTGCCTGGCATTTCAACCCCCAATCACACTTTGACCCATGTGACCTTAATTACTCACATGATGGCAGGGTGGGTCAGTGACTCTCAGTACCAATTCTAAGTTGACAAGCCCAGTTAGGATGAATGCCTCATTCTATCTGAAATGAGGAATCAGAAATCCAGAGTTTTAGCTAGAATGCCCCTTTTTGCGTGGACTTCTCAGTCAGTAGGCACAACTTTTCATTTCAAGGTGGCAATGGTGAACCTATACAATAAGAAAGCTGAAATCAGGCATTACATCTTTTACTGGAATGCAGTCAACTCAGGTATGACTCTCACGCCCAGCTTCCAGATCCAGATTCAAAAGTAAAAGGCACACAGCATAAATACCTGGGACTCCCCATCGGCTTTTAAAACTGAAGATGCCTCTTTGATCGAAGTTTAACATACAAAGAAGCCCAGTTACCTGCAGCTCAGATGCTTAAGACTACCATGACCATGATGGCTGAGAGCCTACACAGACAGGAACTGAATGGGCACATAATAACTCAAAGGCGATTTCTTCAAATTTAACCTGCTAGATTGTTTGTTTGTTTTTTAAAGCCAGCAGAACAAGTGCAAAATGCAAGATTTGCTAAAGTGTCTACTTTTTAATGTGCTAACTTGTGCTTTAACAGATTGAACTCCGATGTGCGTGTGGCACAGAAGGCCGTGCAATGAACTGATCTGAAAGAGATCATCTTTCTGTCTTTCGATTTTGTTGACTTTCAACAACAAATTATACCCTCTGTTAGAGCTTCATAATGAGTACAGTTTCAGATTATAGTGCTATAATTATGAAAATAAATGATGATAGTTTTGTTTACTATCAGAGAGCTGTTTGCAGACAAACAAAAACACACGCAGTGCGGCTCCACACTCGCTCAGAGACCCTGTTGTCCATGAAGTGAGTGGAAACACAAGAGCCCTAAAGTTTGTGTGTGTGTATGCGAGTGTTTGTGTTTTGTTAGTGAGTGAGTGC